TATCATGTTGCTAGTTTTCTGTGTGTTTAATTTAAACACATTAAAAACATTTATTTTTTTTGTGTTGATAGACTATTACTCATGACATAAACAGACAGATTGTGGTGTGGTCGAGACATTGTTCAAGACAACAGATTAGTGGCTACGAATAGAGATAGACAGCTGCAACGGAGCAAAAATAACACATTTTTAACTGAATTTAATGGGAATCCGGAAAAAATAACACTTCCTATGAACAGAAAACTAAAAATATTAGCTTCGATAACAAGCAAAGCTTTTAATTAGTCGGCCGCCAGTGGAGATAATAAATCATCAAATAAGCGGGAACAACAAACAGTATATACGCTGCCAGTATCCTATTATGTTTGCTAAACAAGGTATAAAGGATTCCTTCACTGCGGCCTGATAGAAAGTGTAAACACATTGTCCAAAATGAGAATGTAATCTAGACAGTGTGAAGAACAGTCCTCACCATCAGGGGAACTGGTCTGATCGAAGACTCCTGCCATTGTTAGTTGTGCAGGATCCATCGCCTTCAAACAGGCAGCCATATTGTGATCGATTGGGCAGTTGACTTTCAAGGCAACCTTGGCAAAAGATGGAAATCATTTTCAATTAGTAATACTGTTGATGTTTCCACCAAACTAGTGTTGACTCATTAGAGCCACTGCAATGTACCTCCTCAGCAACCTTGCGGGGGTTTCTGTTGACAGCCCAAGAGCAAAGGGCGACCCCACTCTGGGAGATGGCTCTCTTGATCAGGCCTTTGTTGTGGGGAGTTAGAGTCTATGGGCAGACACATAGATGTTTTATTATGTTATTCTATCTACCATTTATTGTTAAACACAATAAGCTGTGTGCCTAGACAAAAAGGTTCCCACCTGTAAGCTAACACTAGCTCCACCTGCAGACTCTCCAAAGATGGTGATGTTGTCAGGGTCTCCTCCAAATGAACGGATGTTTCTGTGCACCCAGGTGATGGCAGCCTGCTGGTCCCACAGACCATAATTTCCTGATAATGATTAAACACATTTCAGCTCATGAAAGGAATCATTTTTTACATTGCCAACATCCACCAGGCACCTACCCGGCAAACCAGAGTCTCCAGTGCTCAGGAAGCCCAGAGTTCCCACACGGTACCCCACTGTCACCACAATAACGTTTCCTTTTTCTGCGATCTTCTGCCCGTTGTAAATATTGGCATCCATGACATAACCCATTGAGCTTCCAGATGTAAAGGCTCCACCATAGATCCATACCATGACAGGCAAATCAGTGGACACTAGAGGACAAAGAGACAGCTGTAGTGTTGTTGTAATTTAGATGACAGTCAGTGGGTTTCTGTCAGTCTTTACCTGAGCTGCCTTGAGGAACCCAGATGTTAAGATGGA